TCCATGGTCAAACAATTGGGGTCCGTCAAGGTAGCGTGTTGGGCCCGCTGTTGTTCAATCTTCTGTTTGACGGGTATTGCTGCGACAGTTCGCGCAGCTTGCCCTGTTGCTCTGGACAACGAGCATGGTGCCCCATGTATAAGACCTTTGCTGTATGCTGATGACCTAATTCTCTTTTGCCGGCAACCAGTCGGACTTGCAGAATGGTTTGACGGCCATTGGCGCTTGGGGCTGGCAGTGGTGGTTTTCCGTTTGTGTGGGCTCTGACAAAACGGCCGCTCCTGGCGTTGGTTCACGTAAACTGGGTTTCCGGTTCCAATTTCAGGGTGCTCGTGTGCCTTGTGTTCAGGAATAGTATTGCCTGGGTGTAGTTTTCCAATCGTCATGGAAATGGCGGCAGCACGTGGCATGTCGTTTGAATAGAAGCGCGCATGTTCCATCAATGCTTGGGCTGGGCAAAGAACCGTGGTCTCTCCACCAATTTGCGTGTGAGCCCCTTCCGTTCCTGTGTTTTGCCCTCATTACTGTACAATGCCCAAGTCCTTGATGCCATGTTTTGGATACAATTTGAGCATCGCTTGCTCCGGTGGCCTTTTGATGCACCACAAGCTGGGTTGATTGGCCAATAATTGGGCTGGCGAATGCTGGCGACCAGTAACTTTGGAATGTCTGCTGCAAGGGGAGCCGGTGACCATCGTAGCCTAACGAGGCGTGTGTTCAGCTATGCTATGCGATGTCTTGGCTCATGGGCCTTTACAGTGGGTAACACATGGCAGTCCTCCGGCGGTCCGTCGCCAACAGTTTTTGGGGTGGTGCCCGGTGGAGACACTGCACATGGATGCCAACGCCTGTGCCTTGTCGGCCTTGCCAACGCATGATGATGTTTTTGCTTGTCCCCAGTGCTCACATCCGTGTCCTTCTGTTGTGCAGGCTGCGCTTGCCTTTGCCTCTCGCACCTCGCACTTGCACGTGTCTTCGGTATCGTTCTTGCCTCGCGAGCCATCGCTCTGGAACGTGCGTTGGCCAGGGTGTCAAGGGTCGCTGCCACTGAGCGTATCTGGGATCTGCATGCCATCGTCAAGGACGCACGTTGGCGCACAATGCCTGGCCCAGCTGCTCGGCTATGCGGACGTCCCGTTGCCGGACAATGCGTAGAACACGGCGCAATTTAAGGGAGTTGGAGCTGCGCTGTGCGAGGGCCGACCGCCATGCAGCACACTGGGCCTCCTAGTGCGACACACTCTGCTGTTTGTGACCACGCACCTCAAATTGTGCAGTGCAGCTATCAGGCATTGCGCGCAGGCACTGCGCGCCTCGGAAGCCGAGCAAACTCCGGCATTGCTAGCTGCGCAGCATGCGGCAATTTACCTGCTTGCCCAAAGCGTTGAGGTCCTGGCCTGGGAAGCCGCTGCTGGCCGCGCTCGGCCTCCCGCCTCATGCACCGCACGGCCACGAGCTTGCCGATCGCTTGCAAGGATGGCAGCCGCACGCGGCCTTTGCGACGAGCGCCCGCTCGAAACGCACCTTTCTCACCTTTCACCCGCGTCCCGAGCGCTGCTACTGCCCAAGGGTGGCCCGCATTCCACGTGCTGCCTACGCACGAGGAAGTTGCCATCCCAGCGTGCTCCGGCTGTGTCGGCTGCGCCTGCGCCACTGCTGGAGTGCTGCCGGCCGGTCCCATTTGAGAAGGTGCTGGCTGCCGCCAGGGGGGTCTCGCATCACCCAGAGCGTCAGACTGGCTGACATGAATGTCGATGCCCCGTGCAGGGTGCCAGGCGAATTGACGTCGCGTGCAACGCCTTGCCCTTCTGGCATGGTGCGCGCCCGCCGTTGACGCCACCATCGTGAGCCCCGTTGGCGGGGCCGGGTGCGCGCTGGACCGTTGCTCCTGCCAGTAGCCGAGCCGCGGCGCGCGCAATGTGAGCAGATGCATGTGGCCGGCACGGCTGCGCAGTGACCAGGAATTGGAAAGAACAGTGGAAAAATGAATGGCGAACATCTGCCAGCATGCACGTGCCCTGCACGCAACAACAACCCAGCGTGCGTCGACATACGTTTTGGCCCCAATGCTGTGCGATGCCCGCTTGGCACGCTGTCTCTGCACCCCCAAACACTGCATCATGGGGGACCAGCCCTCAACGCCTCGCAACCCATGCTTGTGACGAGCGTGTGTTCGAGTTCAATCTCACACCGGCATCTCGGACGTTGCTGCTGTCACAGGCTGGGCCGCACGGTCTTGCCGAGGCATGATGATGTTGTTGTCCCCAGTGCTCACTTCCATGTCCTTCCGTTGCGCAGGCTGCGCGTGCCCTTGCCTCTCACAACTCGCACTTGCACGTGTCGGCTGCATTAGGATGCCTTGGGCGACCACCGGTCAGCACGCGCTCCAGCCTGCGTTCTTGCCTGGCGAACCTGCGGCTGGCTGACATGAACTTTGACGTGCCAATCCAAGAAGCCCGATGCATCGAAGTTGTTTGTAGTGGACCGCCCCTCTGGCACGGCAAGCAGCGTGCCGTTGATGCCACCATTGTCAGCCGTTTTGGCGGTGACGGGCAGCCGCGTGCAGGGGCAGAGTCGCGTCCTGGCGTTGCTCTCTCTCTCTTTTTTTTTGGAGACGCCACACATATATACCTTGAACTCGACCAGGCACGGCGCTGCAGCCTGGTGGATTTTGGAGTTGAGGTCGGCAGCATTCGCGGCACTAAGAAAAAAAAATCCATCCGCGTGCTGCTTCCTCCGGAGAGGCTCCATCCACAGCGAACCAAAGACGTGCTCGCGTGGTGGCACGGGGCGTTCCATGCAGGTGCTCAGGGACATGCCGCCAAGGGCCCGGCCGAGCCCGATGCGCAGCCGTGCGCTCTAGCGCATTCTAGCACCTGGAGCTGCGGCTGAAGTGCAACCCGTCCCGCACGCAGCTGAGGCGCGCACGCCGCGGTGCTGCCCATGGTACAACCGCAGAGCCTGCTTCAGGCAGGCGATCAAATCCCCTTCACGGGCCACGTCCCGGGTGGCCGCAGGAGCCCGTGGCCGGGGCCGTCGGGGGGCGCGGGCGCGGCCGCACCCGTTCAGGATGCTCTCGCAGGCCCGGCAAGAACTCCTGAGGGGCCGCTTGCAACGCGAGCCACCCGACGCGCTGCAGCCGCTGAAGAGGGTTCCAGACAGGGTTGCTTGCGCTGCCCCGCTTGGGGACCAGTTTCGTCGGAGGGTGCTCACCCTGCAAAGTGATGACCAACCCCAGCCGGGGGGTGGTTACCCCAAACAACGCGAGGACGGGGGCCCGGAAAAAGTCGAGCAAACTGATCGGGTTCAGGAGGAAGTAGGACTTGCAAGGCGTCAAGCTTGCGGGCAAGGGCGGCGGCAACAGTTTCGCCCAGCTGAAGCACGAGCGGCATTTCCGCAAGTAGTATCCTTCAGCCCGTTGCCCAATTTCGCGCACGAAGACGGCAAGCGACGTGACTTGCCCGGGCTCGCGCGGCGCTGCCAATCCCCGACACGCGCCAAGGCAGTTTGGGAGGACGGGCCATGCACGTGGGCAATGTTGTCGATGGCTGCCAACACCTGGCAATAAATCAACAGCGGCCCCCCACAAGGGCGCAAACATTGGGTGTTCGCTCTACGGGGAATTGGGCCTACAGATTTGAATGCGTAGCCTGATTTTAGAGCTGCGGCCTGCTTCTCGTGCACAATTTGTGAGTCCAGTATTGGTAACATCAGACATGCTAAAGGCGTCTACACGGGGAATGGAGCCTACAGATCTGGATGTGTAACATGATTTCAAAACTGCGGCCTGCGTATCGCGCACGTTAATGTCAGTTATGGCAACGTTGCGAAGCAAGACGTGATAAGGGCATATAAGGGCGTCCACATGGGGATTTGAAGTCCGTGGGGTAGCTTCTGCGGATGTGGGGTGCTTTTTGCTTATGGGGGCGTCTCAGGGCAGTGGGGTGCCTTTTGCCCGCGTGGGGTGCCCTGGGTCGCTCACTTGTAGTGGTAATTTGAGTGGTGGAACCGTGTGTAACCCATTGCGGGTGGAATTTTGGAACTTGCTGGACAGAGTTTTTTTTGATGTTTCCCGCCGTGGTTCAAGCCCGCAGCAGGGTAGTAGGTTGTCGAAGATTCATGGCAGTGGCAGTCTTCGCAAATGCTTGTGGGCAGATGCAGCCTTTCATCCTTGTCGCGTCAAATTGAAATCTTCAAGCTGGACAACATAAGCGTCAGAACAATGTTTCGTCCCGTATGGCATGTTCAACAAGCAGATACTGGAGGCAAGATTTTAAAGCGTGCTGAACATGTCTTATCCAATGGTGGCTCGAAATGGCGCAACCGTCAGAAGCATGGTGTCGGATGCGGAGACCTTAAAGGGTGCTTCTGGCATCAAATGTTCTTCAGTTGGGTGTGCCCATGAACGTTCTTGTGTGGTAGGCTGACATCTAATTTCGTATTTTTTCGGGCCCTGACTCTGACTGTCATTTGTGTCGCTGGTTATTAGCAATGAAATTGCTGCATCATTGGGGGTTCATACAGCGGCCGTTGGCAGGATCCATTCTTCCATGCATGCTATACGGACGCTGATTAAGGCGAATGCGGGCTCCGCACAAGGCCGCCCGTGTGCCAGCAGGGAAGGAAACCACGGACAGCTATGGCAAAAAATGACAAGGGTCATGAATTTCCGTAATGCTTGGAGGCATCTTTTTGGGATGCATCCCTTCGAAATGTTGCGGGTGCTCAAATTAGAAATGTGTCATACATTTTTACCGTTCTGCCCTTTGGCTGCCAGCCATTCAGCTCACGCTCAGCCCTGCGTTTTGCGTGGAGATCCCATGAGGTATGTATGTTGAAAATGCCATGCTTGTATCGAAGGAAAGCGCCAGTGCTTTGCCGGGATATTCTTAGGACATCCAGGTTTCAGAGCCATGCCGCCAAAAGATGGGAAGAAGAAGAAGAAGACACCGCCATCGCCAAAGTTGGCAGCCAAGACTTCACCAACCCTGAAACCCAAGGCTTCGCCAACCATCAAGGCCAAAGCTTCTCCGAAAATGAGTCCCAAGGCAAACCCCAAGCTTGCAGGGTCCAAGCGGAAAATCAATGCCGTGGATGCGGACGAAGCGCCTTCATCGCTTGCCGTCTGCAAAGTGTCTGATATCAAAGAAATATCGGATGCCAGTCGGGAGGCACTCCTGACCAAAAACATCACATCGTTGTTTGAGATCCAGCAGAAAGCCTTCAGCCCATGCTTCAAAGGCTTGGATGTGGTTGGCCGAGCAAAGACAGGCTGCGGCAAGACTTTGGCATTTGTGCTGCCAGTGGTGGAGCGGAGTCTTTGCAAATTTTTGCTCCTCCCAGATTTCGTTTTCTTGATATCATCATGAGTTACGAAAGTATTGCTTGAGCAGGATGATTACCTGGAACATCCTGGAACCTAAGCCTGGATCATTCAGCAGCCAAGGATTCGTAGCTTTTCAAACGCATCTTGTAAGAAAACGCCTTTGTGTACTACCATTGCGCCGACTCTGGGCTAATTGCTGGCTTGCGGGGTTTAGGGTTTAGGGTTTTACGTTCAAGTTACCCTGGTACGGAAGCAATAGGATTTGCGGAATATGCATGCTATGGTTGCCGGATGGTAGGAATTTCCAGGACTGGCAACCTTAATTTGATATGAAGCAGGGTCCATCATTGTTTATTGGTGAGTGCATATGGCGTTCCTCAGGAATATGGGAAGGCATTGAACCCTGAACTCTAGACCCTAAGCCATCCACCCGTGTGCTTTCCGGATTACAACTGCATTATGGGAGATCTATACAGGAACTACATGGGCTCTGTTTTGAGAAACGTTCATATTGGATCCACACCAATGTTGTTGACACACTGCGTAAATTCTTTATCTGAAGCATCTATGATGACCCGTAGCTGTACCTATTCATGGTCTAAACACATTTGTCATTGCCATCCCCATGCTCATTCTCATTCACATCTTGTCGACATCATTTCCTGAGCATCTTGTCCATCACGTGACCAAGCTGTGTGGAGACATGATTCTCAGCATGGGTACGATTATCACCATCAGTATTGGCATCAACACGGGCGTCGGCAAGCAGTCGCTGCAGCAGCATCAGCCCGAGCATCAGCACCAGCACCAGTACCAGCAGCAACATGAGCACAAACAGTTCAACAGCATCAACATCGACATCAGCATCATCCGCCATCATTTCTTTCTTTAATGCTGCGCATCTCGTCGTAGTTCATCTTTTGTTCGCCATCCGTCCAATATCAGCACCATTTCCGCGTCTAATCGTAATTGCACTTCATGCTATTGTTGCTTCTGTTGCACTGAAACATGTGTCCCTGCAACTGTACCAACTTCCATGTTCCTGCCACCATGAGCAAGTCACTTATGATGAGTCCGCTCGTGCGTGTTACTATTGGTTTGTTGTCAGGGAGCGCCTGTCTGTACGAAGCAGTGCGCGCAATCCTTGTGCAATTTATTTTCGTCATTGCACGCATGATCCCGCCATACCATTCTCTGCTGTTTTGGATGAGTTTCAGCGTTAATTTTTTCAATTTCGTCATAAAGAACCTAGCTTCCAACGCAGCTGTTGAATTCCTTCGGGTCCGCTAGGGTCCCCAAAGCGAGCCCCAATTAAACTCCAAACCATAAGCCCCAAAGTGCCCCTGCAGTCAGCTGCAGGACACGGGAGCTTGCAAGACAAATCTTCAACGACTTCGAGCTTCTTGGAAAAGCGTCAGGTCTTGTGGTGAAGTGCTTCTATGGCGGAGACTTGATCACTACGTCTAGGGATGTGAAGCTCTTTGCAGGAGTGGAGGTAGCATGTAGGGACCTGATGTCCGCCTTAAAGCCCTTATCTAGCTCCTCGTGGTCACTCCTTACCACTTTTGTTCCTCATCAAGGTTTTGGCTTTTGGGAGCTGTTTTCTTGAGCTGCTGGAACGGGGACTATTCTGGGGGTTAATAAAGGGATACTAGGAGTCTAGACACTCTAGCTCATGTGGGTTTACATTGAAGCGGGCAGATGCCACAGGTGCTGGCAAATGTGGTACCACTGATGAGATCCCATGTTACGCCGACCCTTACCTCCCCTCCCCAAAATGGTAGTTTCCCAAAACAGGGGGCCCACTACAGACCCCAACATATCATAGTCCTTATTAGGTAGTCCCCAGAAACGGGCCCCTAGTTTTTTCGCTAATTAGGGCTTATTAGGGCTTATTTAGGGTTTCTTAGGCTTCTTTTTGGGGGACGGGAGGAAAGGGGTAGCAGAGGATTCCATGACACCAAGGAACGCCATTTGGGCCCCAGTGCGATGACCTGCGCAAAGGCGTGCATGTCCTGGTTTGCACACCAGGACGCCTGCTTGACCATGTTCATCGCAGCAGCGTGGATCTATCAAGCTGCAAGACATTGATCTTGGATGAGGCAGATGAGATGCTGTCGATGGGCTTTCAGGAAGACATTGAAGCCATCATGGACGAATTGCCCAAATCGGATTGCCAAAAGTTGCTGTTTTCAGCGACCTTGCCGACATGGGTGAATGCCATCGTGGAGAAGCACCTGGCAAAACCTACATGGATTGATGTGGCACACGATCCGCAGGGCAACAAAACCAACAACTTGATCAAGCATCAGTGTGTGCAGTGTGCACCAATGATGAAGGGTGACTGCATTGGCGACTTGTGCAAGATCCATGCCGGTGCTTTTGGAAAAACCATAGTCTTTGTGAACACGAAGAAAGAATGTGATGAGCTTGCTGGAAACGAGAAGCTGCAGGCGATTGGCGCTGGTGTCTTGCATGGAGACATTCCACAACATGCTCGTGAGAAAACCATGGATGGATTTCGGTCTGGAAAGATCCGGTGCCTTGTGGCCACAGATGTAGCGGCGCGAGGCATTGATGTCCCAGCGGTGGACCTCGTGGTGCAGACAAGGCCCCCGCAAGATTTCGAGGCCTACGTGCACCGCTCAGGCCGTACCGGGCGAGCAGGTCGCAAGGGAACATCTGTGACGTTCTATTCGCGAAATGAGGAGTACCTTGTCAAGCTCATCGAGCACAAGAAACTTACACCTGGTTAGTAGGGAGAATGAATCCCTGTTGCAGTCTTTACATACCCGTTGTAGTGCAGCAGTGTAAAGACTAATTATGCCTTTATTTTCTCGAATCCCAGTAGCCCACCCATAATTGTTTGAATCATGGTCTACTGTCTACTTTCCCCCAAATTTCCTACCACTTTGGTGTAACGTAGCCCATTATTTTGGGTAGCTAGGCTTCCCAGGTAGTAGCCTTAAGCCCTAACTTAAACTCTAAGCCCTAAATCCCTCAACTCTAAACCCTACACCCTAAACGCTGTAATCACCCGTAAGGAAAGGGATCAAAATGCAGCGGGTGGGGCCACCCCAGGCTCGAGACGTTGTGGCTGCAGCCGCCGAAGATGCCGTGCGGCAGATTGACACAGTACATCAGGCAACTTACTGCCGTTTGGGGTTTAGGGTTTAGGGTTTTATATAGGTTTTGGAGGTTTAGGTTTTGGGATTTTAGGGCTTCAGGTTTAGAGTTTGGGTTTGCTTTTAGAGATGTTCCCTCCGCTCCGCCCATAAGGCAAGCGTGGAGGCTTTCACCGACAGGGCCAAGGAGCTGATCGAAGAACGCAGCTGGGTTGATGTTAAGGAATTAATTAAGAAGCTGGAAAACAAAATGGAGGCCACCACAGTATGCTGGGGCTATATAGGGATAATGAAAAAGAAAATGGAAACCACTCTTGCAAACTTGAGTCTTCCTGACTATGGTAACTTAACTTAAGTTCCCCAGCAACAGCCCAGGTGGTGCTGAAGTTGTCTTGGCAGCTTCTATGGCAGCACTCACAGGATTGGTCGAAGCCGTGCAGTCCCCCTTAAGTAGATAGAATATGGCTTGGGGTATTTTATAATAAGGCCCCCATATTCCCCATATTCTATCTACTTAAGGCAGACTATACCCCTAAACCCTAAACCCTAAATAGTAGTTTCCTTTTTCTTTGCCACTATCCCATTATAACCCCTATATTCTATCTACTTAAGGGGGACTATATGTACAGTTTGTGTTGGCATAGAGAGTCTTGGAGGCTCAAAAGATAGAGGATGATAGAGGTAAGGAATGGCCGTGACTTAGGATTGGGGTTTATGGTTTAGGGTTTAAGTAGTTTGGGGTGGGATTTTGCTCGACAAGCTTGTGAGAGGACATTTCCGGGAGCTCAAGGGGCGCTCGCTTCTTTCTTCATATGAAGGTGTCTGGGTTATCGTTGAGTAGCATTTGACATGGTTCTTACATATACCTGAGCGTGAACCCGAAATAGACTAAGAACAGCCCACACCCCAACCCCAGTTGTTGATAATCCCCTCCCCGCAATATAAAACTTCCCCATGCCCCCTAATAAAATACGCCTAATATCTATTATAACATGCCACATAATGGAATGTTTAGTATTACTGGGTTGCTGTTAAGGAACTTAAATTAAGTTACCATACTGGGCATATATAGTAATTAATATGGTTCCCCCAATATAGTAACTTAAAGTAAGTTCCTTAACAGCAATCCAGATTAGGGGGGTTGGGGTGGGTGATCCTAAACCCTAAACCCTAAACCCTAAACCCATGGTGGGTGATAATTGGACCAAGGTAACACGGCCCTCCTCCTGGAGTCAGAGCGCGTCATCGAAACTGATTCAAAAGGCAGGGCAGGGTCTAAACCTCGGGTTTAGGGTTTAGGGTTTAGGGGTCAGCCCCTATACCCCAAATCCAAAACTCTGAAAACCGTATATATATATATATATGATCG